AACCAAATGCAGTTGCTAGAATGACTTCCATACTAAACTGTCCAAATATTCTACATACAAAATCAATAATTTTACAGTTCCAATTCTATTTGTATTATAATATATACATTTTACACAAAAACGCTACTTAATAATAAAGACTTTAGTGAATTATTGGCTGTAAAATTAACCATAAAATGTGTCATAGGATGTTTACCTCCACAACTCAGCACCATTGTTCTTTCTACTTATGTCACTAAATATTTCAACCAATGTATCACAACTTCTTTCAATAAGCGGTGATATCTGTAAACATAAAAATTATTCATGATCACTATTTCTTTGTTTTAGCTATTTGGCACTATGCAGTTATGCATGTCACTAAGCAATAGACTACAATATTACCATTTTTAACTTTTTGGTTGAAAAAGCAGGAGTAACGATTGCTCTGGTCCTCTTCCAATCTGTCTTATTCATGTATAACATTACGCTGTTAATGTTAGCTTTTTTGCGAATTTCAGTCATGAAGCCATAATCCTTCTATATAATTATGATTATGATCAATAATAAAACGTTTAATGATATAAACATGACATCTAAAGCCCACCATCCACTATTCAACTTTGTGGTTACTTTTATCCTAGGGCAACTCTGTTGCCTGAAATAGAAGTCAGTTCTATTTCAGGCAACAGAGTTGACAGCACATCAAAGCAACCACAAAGTTTCTTTCAACAAAGCTGAGATAGATCTATTAGACTAGATAATAGAGTAAATGAAAGGGATTGGAAACGGAAGCGTGGGCGTAGGCAAACCTCCATTCATTTGTATCGTTGCTAAGTAAACAGAGGAGGGTTGGGATTTTTGACCCGATTTTGGAGTCAAAAACTGGGATTTTCTTGCTTTATTCTTGAATAACTCCAAGAGAATACAATTCATGCAAACAAAACTCACACACAATACTAACCAATGTTTATGCTTTTTATTAATATTTTTTACTCAGTAAATCAATGCATGCGTTAGTAGCCACGTCACTCTTTAACTAGAAATACCATCTTTTCCCCCTCTGAGACTCATTTTGTTCTTGAGCTACGAATAAGTATAACCATTTTAAAGAGCTTGAAATCTCCTATGGAATGAGCTGACTTGCATATTGATACAATGAAGCTTGAGTGTTTCACGAACGATAAAGTGTTTCAAAAACAGGCGACTTTGTGTACCTCTAACTGGTTACAAAATGGCTTTTTGGAGATAAAAACCTTGCTGCAGGTAGCTTTAAAATTCTATGTGGAATAGGCTATATATCAAAAGCAAGCGCTATCCTGGAGCAGCACAAATTTCCTTCGAAATCCTGCCAGAGCAACTTCACCAATGGAGGAGATGGGAAATCAATCAAAACATTGATGGTTGTCACTTGTCACGTGGTAACCCAACCCGCATTTCCTGTTGCTATAGCGCTACCCCCCCGTTGCCAATCCCTTTCATTTACCGTATAGCTTGAAATTTTCGTGGAATGTAAATTTCGTGATTTTCGTGGTTATGGCATGGGCTGCCCAGGAAATTTAAACCCACGAAATCATTGAAGTGCCATCCCCTATAAAAAGAATGCGGATCAGTGCGGATTGCTGCGGATCGTTCCGCACGGTGATTCGGTGAACCAAGCACGTGAACGCGCGGAACGTGCACGGACGTGTGCCTAGAATGCGGATCAACCCCCAAGAATTCAGAATCATAACTTCCCGTGGATCAGTCCTCTTGTTCTTCTATTCCATTCAATCTTTATTTGTTGCAATGTTTAACTCTTTATAAAGTAAAAATAACTATTTTTAACTCAGTGTAATAATTTTAAACTTTGAATGTACGAGA